CATTCGAAGTCTAGGTGCTCCCTTCCTCCTGTTTGCAAATCTGACCTCCATCCCCGCGGCCGCACCGAGCTCGCGTGGCGTACCGCTGGCCTCATTCGTGCTTTGACCAGCACCGGCTGTGTCGGACCGTAGGCCTCCATCGCACGTCCCACGTGTTATGCAATTCGCCGGTGAATCGCGCAGTAAGTTTAGTCTGGCCCCATGTGCAGGGTGATTACCACCCAATTCATGGGTGAATCAATCAACCGCACAATAAATGTAGTCCAGCCACACACGCAAAGTAATTATCATGCCATAAAAATGGCTGTCCAGCTGTACTGAGAGCTGACCGGCTGCAAAGTCAGTGTTTGAAGACGGGTAACGACTTAATAGCTGGTTTCTATCCAGACTGAATTTGAAGGTGTAGCAGGGCCCCGCCGGCGAGACCGACTGGTGAGATGATGCAAGGAGGAGGAGGGGAAAGAGCTGCAGACATCCTGCCCATTTCTTCCGCTTTCCAGGCCTCTTTTTGCTCAGGCCCATGGATGGGATGGGAGCATTGCATATGGGACAGCCAGGGCTACAGCCGTCAGCCCCTTATTCATTTGTTTCTCCTGATGACAACCTGTCTGCACGACACTACGGCACGCGATCCCTTTATTTCTTTGCTTAACAGCCGTCTGCCACGGCAACTAATAAAAGCAAACGGCAAATTAATTGCCAATAATTGAATGAGGGGCAGAGCTGCTGACGGCTTGCAAAATCCACAGCGACACGTTCGTGCAGCCACGCGGTGGGTGAGCAGCATCAATATTGAACGCCTGGCTTGATATTTCCTGCAATCTGCTTCCATGTTTATGTCATGAAATCCTGTGCCGCTCCCCCCGCAGCGCAGCCGCGGCCCCCTGCACAAACAGTGGCATCCAGTCGGGGCAGGCGACGTCTGGCCCAAAGCAAACAATTAACGTGGACTGCTAATTGCAGAATAACGCCGAGCAAAACCGGGGAGGAAGCTGGTCCAGCTCTGTTGGTTTTTGGCAACAGGGCTGTCGCACTTCAGGGCCTCTGGCTGCTAGCAGCTGCTCCAGCACCGTCCCGTCACCCTGCTCAGCGCAAGGCTAGCGGACGCGATGCTCAAACCACTGGCAGCAGCTCGCGTGCTGCCGAGGGTGGGTTACTCATAGGCTTTTTCACTGCTTTTCACTACCGGGGCTCAGCTGTTCACAATTTACCTTGTTTTCTTGTATACAACACCCCCCCCCCCTCCCCCCAGCTGTGGGAAACCGGGGTGCACGTTATAAGTGAGGAAATAGGGTAACAGCTGTTTCAGCAGCTCAAGTGTCTGCTGGGGAAGAGCAAAAGTCCTGTGCATACAACCCCGAGGAAGCCAATCAAACGAGCGGGCCCGGCTCCTCAGATGCTGCCCTTGGTTACAACGAGGAAAGATTTCCCCCTTCGTTCTACCTTTCGAGAACAAGGTGCGCGTCGTGCTCCCGGGCGTGCTGCATGTGAGAAAAGACAGTGTTTTCACCACCTTCCCGACACTCCCCGACCACAGGAACGGCCTGTGGCACACGTGGGAATATAAGCCAGACTTTCCCCGTGTCCCCAAGCAGTGCCTAATGACTCCCCTCCTGCTAGGAGCCCTGACAATGAGGCCACCGGGAACAGCCAGGGTTTTGTGGGACGGATGAAAGCAGCCTTGGGGCAGGGTTTTTTTTCTTTTCCCATTTCAATTCATGCTTAAGACCTTACAAAACTATCACTGAGGAGGAAATGCCCCGTGCCCTGCACTGCCGCTCGGTCTCTTTCTCTGTCCTTTGGTATTTTAATGTTGTGCAATTTTGGAAAAACGTGGCGTCAGGCTACAAGTGTTCCTGGAATCCGGCCCCACGTGGCTCTGAGTCTCTCGGGCGTAATCCACGCTGCACAGGGGTGCTCGCCATTAATCGGAGAGAGGGCGGGCATCCCGGTCCACAAGATCTGGATGTCACCGTCAGAAGCGTGTCGACACCCTGGGTTTTGAGGCCGGAGCAAGGCCCCCACAAAACCCCGAGCGTGAGGCACAACACTGCAAGAAAAGCTCGGCCCCTAAACATGTCACTAGGCAATGCATTCATCCTCCAGCTCGTGAGCACGGATGCTGGGGGAGCTCACTAACCTGTGTGTGCAGAGCGGCAACAACACTCCCCTGGGCCGCCTGCACTCGCGGCACGGAGAGAGACTCGAGCCATGTCCCTGTCACCCGGAAGCACGTGGAACAAAGGGAGAACTGAATCGTGGGGTTATAAAGCCCGGGACGGAAAGGGAGCGCTGGTCTTTCAACACTGCAGCTTCCTACCCGACGGGTCTTTGTCAGATGGGTCTTTGTCTCTCTGGGCAAGATTAAAAGACGCATCCTGTCGCGCCTTGCACTGCCTTCGCCCGCAGCGTCACTCCAGCGCCAGCTCCCCCTTCGCTTGTCGAGAGTGGCACGAAGAGATGTGGGAAGAGCACCAAGCGACCGGCCTCGTGAAATACGTCAGGAGCGGGAACAGCCGGGTTTCTCAGTCCTGCACGGTGATGTCTGCTAGTCTATAATGAGCACAACGGGACCGCCCTGGGATAGCGCATGATAACACCAGCTCACGGCGGATGTGCTGACAGGCCTCAGACCGAAAGGGCTTTAGCGTGGCCCGACTGGCATCTCCGCGGGCAAGGAGGGGAAGCGTGAGGCGACAAATATTTCCAACACGTTCCTTGACGGGGCTCAGCAAGCAAATGAGGGCCCGACAAAGAAGCCGGGCAGGACGGCGGCCCAGAGCGATCCACCCAGCTGCGCAGAAGCAGAGACCGTTGCTACACGCGCCAGCCTGGGACCCGAGGAGCGAGAGAACGAGCTGAGAAAGGTGGGACCTCCGCCTGTTCTGGGCAGGATGAACACGCGGCATGTCACGGCTCCGTCAGTCACCTCGTTCTTCCGGCTGACGCTACGATCGCCAGAAAATAAGACGCGTCTACCAAGACCGATCTAGCACGAATCACGGAGCTCGCTTCGGGCCCTCGCGAATTTGAGACAGTCGCTGCGGGCTTCTGTGACAATCCACGGGGTTTGGCTTTTTATTTTCCTTGTCAGCAGGACATTTACTGACTGGAAAAGCTTTAATAATCCAAGTGACACAGAACCCGGTTCCCAGCTCGGTGAAGATGTGCCATGTCCTACTGAGATCTCACCACGCACCTGCAATGCGCTCCAGTGACAGCCTTTCCCGCATCTACGAGGACCACATGCTTTTAGCCAGCCACCAGAAGAACGACGGCCAAGCTGGTTTTCAGAGTGAGACCAAACGAGATGTTAATACTGCAGACTTGGGAAAAGAAACCCCCACGGACAGGGCA